ATCAAGAAAGTGATGCAAAGCTTGCAAAGCATGAAGAAGAAGAGATGATGTTGATGGTCACAACAAGAGATGAAGATAGATTCAAGGACCAATGGTACTTGGATTCAGGATGTTCATCATATATGTCTGGAAGGAAAGACTGGATTGTCAATATAAAGCCCTCAAAGAAAAATATTGTAAAATTTGCAAATGACAATACCCTGGCAACTGAAGGTATTGGTGATGTTATGATTATGAGGAAAGATGGAAAAAGGTCAGTAATCTCCAATGTGTTGTACATACCAGGCATGAAGAGCAATTTGCTCAGTATAGGGCAGTTAGTCGAAAAGAATTATAAAGTGTCAATCGAAGATAAGTTGATGAGAGTCGTTGATGCAAATGGGAGAGTAATCTTGAAGGCTCCTATGTCTCAGAATTGAACCTTCAAGATTGAACTAAATGTGATGGAGCACAAGTGCCTTTCGACTGCAGCAAGCAGAGATGAATGGATATGGCATTATAGACTAGGTCATCTCAACTTCAGAGACATCAGAGATTTGAAGAGAAGAAATATGGTTTCAGGATTGCCAGAAATTGACATTCCAAACGAGGTATGTGAGGAATGTGTGCAGGCGAAGCAACACAAGAATAGCTTCAGCAAGGATGCAGGAAGCAGGTCGAAGGCTAGTCTTGAAGTCATATACTCTGATGTATGTGGACCAATCCAGGTGGATTCGATGGGAGGTAACAAATACTTTGTTACATTCATAGATGATTTTAGTCGAAAGCTATGGACTTACCTGATCAAAAAGAAAAGTGAAGTGATCAAAGTATTTACCAGGTATAAGTCTATGGTCGAAAGACAAAGTGGTCGAAAGCTCAAAGTTTTGAGAACTGATGGTGGTGGAGAATATGTGTCGAAAGACTTTGACAGATTATGTGAAAAGGAAGGGATTATGCATGAGGTGGTGCCACCCTATACTCCACAACAAAATGGAATTGTAGAAAGGAAAAATCGAACCATCATGAATATGGTGAGAAGTATGTTGAAAGGAAAGAGTTTACCTAAAGAGTTTTAGGGTGAAGCTGTTTCGACTGCAACATACATTTTGAACAGATGTCCTACAAAGAAGCTAGAAGGAATTACTCCAGAAGAATGTTGGTCTGATGTGAAGCCCAACTTAAGTCATCTGAAGGTATTTGGATCTATTGCACATAGACACGTGCCAGATCAGTTGAGAAGAAAACTTGATAATAAGTCAAGTCAAATGATCCTAGTTGGATATCATTCGACAGGAGGCTACAAGTTGTTCGATCCAGAGAACAAGAAGATTGTGATCATCAGGGACATGATCATAGATGAGTTTAAAGAATGGGATTGGACTGCAAATGTCAAGAAAGATTCAGTGGGAATCCTATTCGAAGAGCCAGAAACTCAAGTCAAAAGAGAAGTTCAACAAGAGGAACCAGCAGATATACGAAGTACAAGCAGACCTCAGAGAACAAGACGCATGCTTGCAAGATTGCAAGATTGTGTGATTACATCATATGATGTAATAGATAATGAAGGTGAGCTGGTACATTATGCTTTCTATGCAGATGTTGAACCTGTTAATGCAGCTGAAGCATTAAAAGATTCGAAGTGGATGAAAGAAATGAACGAAGAAGTAAAGTCTATCGAAGATAACAACAATTGGTCACTTGTCGAATTGCCTCAAGGCAAGAAGGCAATTGATGTCAAGTGGGTATACAAAGTGAAAACAAATTCGAAAGGTGAAGTAACTCGACACAAAGCAAGACTTGTGGCGAAAGGATTTCTACAAAAAGAAGAAATAGACTTCGACGAAGTTTTTGCACCTGTTGCTAGGATCGAAACAATCAGGTTGGTTGGTGGTCTAGCAGAAATAAATAGTTGGCACATATGTCTAATGGACGTGAAGTATGCATTCCTAAATGGACCCTTAGATGAAGAAGTCTATGTTAAACAACCAGTTGGGTTTGTGAAACATGACGAAGAAAGAAAGGTGTACAGGCTACATAAAGCCTTGTATGGATTGAAACAAGCTCCAAGGGCTTGGAATGAGAAAATTGATAGTTTTCTAAGGGAGAAGGAATTTGTGAAGTGTGCAACTGAACATGGAGTATATGTAAGAATAAGCAAGAGTAAATTGCTTATACTATGTCTCTATGTAGATGATTTGTTGATAACAAGTAGCTGTAAAAGTGAGATCGAAGACTTCAAAGGTGATCTCAGCAAGGAATTCGAAATATCTGATTTGGGTGAGATTTCATATTTCCTTGGTATCGAATTCTACAAGAGCAGTAGAGGTTTGATGATGCATCAAAGAAGATATGCAGGAGAAATTCTCAAGAGGTTTGAGATGGAAGAATGTAACTCAACTTCGACACCTGTAGAACCAAAACTGCAACTGTCGAAAGATGCAGATGAAGATGATGTTGAGCCAACCCAATACAGAAGACTTATTGGATCATTAAGATATCTTTGTCATATAAGGCCTGACTTAGCATACAGTGTAGGTATGGTAAGTAGATTTATGCAGAAGCCAAAGGTATCACATCTAGCAGTAGTGAAGAGGATACTAAGGTATCTCAATGGAACTTTCGATTATGGCATCTTGTTTCTTGCAGTTGATAAAGGAAAAGAATGCAAGTTAGTGGGATACACTGATTCGAGTTGGTGTAGTGATGTTGAAGATCGAAAGTCAACAGCAGGATATATGTTTATGCTAGGTGGTGCACCAATTGCTTGGAATTCAAGAAAGGAACCAGTAGTGGCATTATCATCATGCAAAGCAGAATACATAACTGCTTCTCTTTGTGCATGTCAAGCAACTTGGATGGTGAACTTGGTCGAAGAGATAACAGGGAAAAATCATGGAGCAATTACCATGAAGATAGACAGCATGTCAGCTATTAATCTGGCAAAGAACCCAATAGCACATGGTCGAAGTAAGCACATCGAAATGAGATTCCATTATCTTCGAGAGCAGGTAGCAGATGGGAAGATGAATTTGGAACACTGCAGAACTGAGAATCAGATTGCAGACATCATGACGAAGGGGGTGCAAGTTGAATTATTCAGAAAGCTAACATGCGGTAGATAAGATAACTAGAAATGGATAGCTTAACCTATAAAATTGGATGCTTTTTGATAAAATTAGTGTTAAAATATTTATGAGTATAAAATAATTTAAATATATTTTTATATAATTAGTATATAAAAAATGATGTTACAAAATCATCTTTTTAGAGATGTATATAAAAAAAGAAGCTATAAATTAGAATAAAAAAACTTTAAACTCTTGAATGAATATTGCTTACTAAAAAATTCTACCATTATCACACGAAAACATATGCTATAAAAACTATGTAATATAAGATAGAGATTTTCTTAGTAAAAAGCCATTAGATACCTTCAAATAGAGCCTTTGAGACACGAGGTTTTGAGAAATTAGATATCAATTATGAAATAATATAGTAATATGATACATTTTTTCTATGATATACATAAAAAAAATTTCATTTATTCTTGAGAAAACATCATGGTAAGAATGTTATATAAAGCTCATACTTAAAAAATTAATGTAACTGATATCATAAAATCCATTCATTAAGAAATTTATAATAGCATTGTAGAGTGTGAGATCTATATCATTAAACTTATATATTTAATTATATGGTTATGTCATTAAACTTATAGGTGACCATTAAATGTGTGTGTAGCATCAAATTTACATCGGTTCGTTTAATTAGAATTGCATGTATTGAAATGTAAATTCTCGTATGAATTCTAAAATGAAAATTAGGAATGTGATCCAAGTGATTCGGAGACATTTCTTATACTTTTATCAAAGAAGGACAAACTCTTTGAAATAAGCACCTTAGTTATTTTTATTTGTTTCAAATTTTCTCTTGAATTTTTATGTTAAATATTTTTTACGACTTCATCGTTGATGTGTAAGAAATTTTTAATCATTTTATTCTTTGGTAGTCTCTGTGTTTATCAAAACTGGACTAGATATATGATGTATATTTCATAATCTTCTCCTTTTGATGATTAAAAAATCTTTGTATTTTTATTTTTATAATGATTGAAACGTATGTCCCTAATTTGTGAGTCTCCCCTTAGTTGGTAAATTTTACAATTACACAATCAAACTTTTGATATCCTTGTTTCCATATTTGTTTTAATTCATACAAGGATTTGAAAAACTTACACACCATTTGTTCATTACCAGAAAAAATAAATTTTTTTGGTTTCTTCGTGTAAATCTCTATTAAGAATGTTGTTTAGACATTCATTTGATGAACTATAAGATCATACAACTAAGTTAATGCAAACAATACTATAATTTTCATTGTTCTTTTTACTATTGCATATGTGTCAAAGTAATAAACATCTTCTGTTTGTTAAAAATCCCTGGTCATTAACCTAGACTTGCAGGTGTTTACATTACTATGATACTTCATTCTAAACAACCACTTGCATCTAATGATTTTTGATCCTTTAGTTAGGTCGACATGTTCTCAAGTATAGTTTGACATTATTGATTCAATTTCATCTTCAATAAATTAGATTTTTGTTATTAATTTCTTTATTTTTTAGTTATTTTTTTAATCAATTGTTAATGTCATTTTTCATGTTTTTTGTATGCAAATTCTTGTGGTATTGATGAATTGTTGGGGTGATAATGTTGAGAATTGATACACGTGTCCCTAGGAATTCTTAGATTTAATATGATTAAATTGTTTAAATCAATTAAATTGGATTAAAGATAGCTTATAGGATTAATCCTTACACGACAACTTTAGGTAAGAATTTTCCCATTAAAAACTCATTCTTAGTCCATCTACTATGTTAAGTTTGGTCTATGGTAAACCTAACCTTAGGGTCATTATGTATCATAGAGCATTTGTTATTCAGTCCCCTAACAAACTTATTTTTTTAAATCTTTTAAAAAAGGGCATATTATTTCCGTTCTATCACAAACAGATAACGTATGAGTCTCCACACAACCAACAACATACACTTAATTGCTAGAATGCAAATGTACAACGCTCCCAAAAAAACAACCAATACATAAGTCTTTTCTAGAAGAACTACAAAACTCTGAATTCTCTATGGAACTATGGAGATACATAGGCATATGTTTTAGGAAATCTTGGTGAAGTCACTAATTTAAAACCTTTCTTTTTTTTCATATTAAATCATTCATGCATTCGTAGAAAATAAACTCTTAGATAACACACTCTTAAAAGCAAACACACAAAGTGGATCCCGTTAAATACATCGGATGTGAGGGGTATTAATACATTCCCCTTGCATAACCGATTTCTGAATCCATACCTGATTCGCAAGACCATCTTATCTGTGATTAGTTAATAAGTTTTTTTAATTCTTTTCTAAATTCATTTTATTCATACATGATAAACCAGTTATAAATTTAATTTTTTTAGTGTTATTTATTTATATTTTATTGATTCATTTTTATATAAAATTCATAATTTAATTTAATTAGTTTATATGTTTAATAACCTAACTTAATTTTTTTCATACAAAGCTCATTACAAAAAAATAAAGTTAAAAATTATGGGGAAAAAATCAGATTTTAAGTTTTTGTATTAAAAACCTTTTTTTTTTGTGTTTTGCAATAACTAATAAAGAATTATCACAATTATCTTTGAGGTGGTTTGAAGCTGACACAAATATAAAATAAAATCTATTTTTATAGGTTGCAAAGCTTGTTCATGATACATGTATGTATAATGGTTGATAAACCGTCTCATTGTTGAATTTTTGACAAACCTTACAAAAAAATGTTAAAAAACATATTTATGTTGTTGTAGTGAATAACATTTAACCAATTCATTAGTAGATAACATGCGGTAGATAAGATAACTAAAAATGGATATCTTAACCAATAAAATTGGATGCTTTTTGATAAAATTAGTGTTAAAATATTTATGAGTATAAAATAATTTAAATATATTTTTATTGAATTAGTATATAAAAATGATGTTACAAAATCATCTTTTTAGAGATGTATATCAAAAAAGAAGCTACAAATTAGAATAAAAAAACATTAAACTCTTGAATGAATATTGCTTACTAAAAAACTTCAACCATTATCACACAAAAACATATGCTATAAAAGCTATGTAATATAAGATAGAGATTTTCTTAGTAAAAAGCCATTAGATACCTTCAAATAGAGCCTTTGAGACACGAGGTTTTGAGAAATTAGATATCAATTAAGGAATAATATAGTAATATGATATATTTTTTCTATGATATACATAAAAAAAAATTCATTTATTCTTGAGAAAATATCATGATAATAATGTTATATAAAGCTCATACTTAAAAAATTAATGTAACTGATATCATAAAATCCATTCATTAAGAAATTTATAATAGCATTGTAGAGTGTGAGATCTATATCATTAAACTTATATATTTAATTACATGGTTATGTAATTAAACTTATAGGTGACCATTAAATGTGTGTGTAGCATCAAATTTACATCGGTTCGTTGAATTAGAATTGCATGTATTGAAATGTAAATTCTCGTATGAATTCTAAAATGAAAATTAGGAATGTGATCCAAGTGATTTGGAGACATTTCTTATACTTTTATTAAAGAAGGACAAACTCTTTGAAATAAGCACCTTAGTTATTTTTATTTGTTTCAAATTTTCACTTGAATTTTTATGTTAAATATTTTTTACGACTTCATCGTCGATGTGCCTGAAATTTTTAATCATTTTATTCTTTGGTAGTCTCTGTCTTTATCAAAACTGGACTAGATATATGATGTATATTTCATAATCTTCTCTTTTTGATGATGAAAAAATCTTTGTATTTTTATTTTTATAATGATTGAAACGTATGTCCCTAATTTGTGAGTCTCCCCTTAGTTGGTAAATTTTACAATTACACAATCAAACTTTTGATATCCTTGTTTCCATATTTGTTTTAATTCATACAAGGATTTGAAAAACTTACACACCATTTGTTCATTACCAGAAAAAATAAATTTTTTTGGTTTCTTCGTGTAAATCTCTATTAAGAATATTGTTTAGACATTCATTTGATGAACTATAAGATCATACAACTAAGTTAATGCAAACAATACTATAATTTTCATTGTGCTTTTTACTATTGCATGTGTGTCAAAGTAATAAACACTACAAGAAAATTAGTGTTTAACGACACAAAAATTGCGACAGTTATGTGATAACTGTCGTAATTGACATATAGAGACAGTTTTTACGACGGTTGACACCAACCGTCCCTAATATTTATTTTGCGACGGTATATTTAACCATCATAATATTATTATTACGACGGTAAAACAACCGTCGGCCCCCATTTAACACTTTTAACATTGATTTTTCACCAACAACTAGTCACGACGGTAAAATTAACCGTCCTAAAAGGCATATCACGACGGTAAAACACCCGTCGCAGTAAAAAAGTTAAAAATACCAAAAAAATACCAAAAAAAGTGAAGGGCCTTAGGAAAAGGTAGAACATCTCGGTCCACTAGAAGCAAGATCCATCTCCAACCTTTCTATTCCCAATCAACATTATCTCCTCATTTATACTTATGATAAGAGAATAACAGAAAAAATAAGATTTGGGATTTCATATGTCGTGTATGCCTTGGTTGCCAGAGGCACGGTGGTTCTGGCGGAGTTCAGTGCCGTCACCGGCAACACAGGCGCCGTCGCTCGTCGGTTACTCGAGAAGCTTCCTACCGAATCGGATTCCAGACTTTGCTTCTCTCAAGATAGATATATCTTCCACATACTCCGATCCGATGGCCTCGCGTACCTTTGTATGGCCAACGACACCTTCGGAAGTGAGTAGCTCGCCGTTCTTTTGTTTTCTTGATTTATTGTTTTTGACCTAATTGCTTTAATATCCAATTCTAATGTTTGTGCTGAAAAAATGATTATGGAAGGATCAGTATTCTTTCTAGAATGAAGATAGGGTTTACTTGGAGTGGTTTTGGTTAGTTTCTTTTGTTTAAACTTATAATGATTATATGATTGTTATATATTGAAAATGAACTGTGTTGGTGTGGTGAAATTGAAAAAAAAAGGTGTGATTGAAGTCTGCATCATTGTTTATGTGTTGTTAGTTAGTTCATCTATTAAGAGATTCAATTGTGTTACTGTTGGGGATGGAGCTGTGGGTAAAACTTGTTTGCTAATTTCCTACACTAGCAATACCTTCCCCACTGATTATGTGCCAACTGTCTTCGACAATTTCAGTGCAAATGTGGTTGTGAATGGAAGCACTGTTAATCTGGGTTTGTGGGATACTGCAGGACAAGAGGATTATAACAGATTAAGACCTTTGAGTTATCGTGGTGCCGATGTTTTCATTTTGGCTTTCTCCCTCATTAGCAAAGCCAGTTATGAAAATGTTTCCAAAAAGTGGATTCCAGAGTTGAAGCATTATGCACCTGGTGTTCCCATTATTCGGGATGACAAGCAGTTCTTTGTTGACCATCCTAATTTAGAACTATTTTTGACACGGGCAATGGAGAAACTTGACATTCAGAGATATACCAGGGAAGCTGGTTTGAGAAATTTGGTGAGGAACTTGGCCGGACAAAATTAGTTTTGAATTCATTGAATCAATGATTAATTACTAAAAAAAAATCTCATTTATCATTTTGAGGTTGTTCAGGTTTTAGTGTAAGTTTATCATTTAATATTTTGTTTAATGATTGAGAAATTTATATTGTAATAAATCAAATTATGTTTGTAATCTTTGTGAACATGTCATGAGACTGTGTAACCTTAAGAAAGATGCAAAGACGAACATCCATGCTATTATTGACAAGTTAGCAGAGAGAGGTCTTCGTTCTCTTGCTGTTTCTAGACAAGTATTTTATATCTGGTATCCATCTCCAACCTTACGAATTGTATACTGTGTATATTAATTAAAAATTGATGATAAATTTTATTTTGTGCTGTTTCTTTTCCAGTGGATTCCAGAGTTGAAGCATTATGCACCTGGTGTTCCCATTATTCTGGTTGGCACTAAGCTTGGTAAGTTTATTTTTTCCTAATGTAAACATCTGATACTGTAATATCATGCATTAGTCAGTTGCTTCCTTCTAGCGTATTAATTTATATCAAACACTGTTTGTATTATGAAATTATGTGTTATTAATTCTATGGATTCCATGATCCATGAATGCTGCTTTCAGCTACTTGCACATTATGTATTTTCATGAGTTAGTTGATTCGTAATTCTTTTCATGTTGATATTATAACCGATGGAAGAGAAACTCCTTTCTTCCGGTAAAGGGGTGAAGAATTGTTTTATTGCTTCATCCTGTACCTGTTTTTCTTCTCTTCTAAGCTTTCGTTTCAATTTATTCTTCCAATGCTTGTTACAACAGTTATGCTCATGCTTTTTGTTGGATATTCTTCTTTCTTGTATCTATTTTCGAAGATGTTTTGTGCTGTAGGGATTTTTCTAAATTGACATTGCTGTCTTATACTTGTTAATTAGTACAGTTTACACATCATTGTTTCTATTAAAGTTTTAGATGTTGAACAATATGTATATTCAAAGATTTCTGCTTTCTTTTGTCTCATATGAACACACCAGATGGAATGATTTGGCAGTCTAGTACAATGCTAGAGTAACATACGTAGCTAGACTATATGATTACGTCTAAAAAGTAGGAAGCGTTTTGTCAAATGCAATAGCACGATTTGAAAAGTTGTTAATTTGGAATTTTGATTTGGACTACCGCATTGTTCTCATCGGAAGTGTATTAGTATTTGACATTAATTAAAATAGTCATTCAAAGTTAAGTTTTTTTATTGATGCTATGTGCACGCGAAAAACAATTGTGTTAACAGTCTCCGTGATGTGCATATTCTATTATGTGTTTTGTCAAATAAGAATTATTCCTTTACCATCTTGTGATTTGAAATGAGACAGATCTTCGGGATGACAAGCAGTTCTTTGTTGACCATCCTGGTGCTGTGCCCATTACCACTGCTCAGGTGAATATTGTGTTTCTGGTGCTTCTTTAATTGCATTATACTTATGCATGTTCACAACCTAAATCAAATCTTAAATTTGCATATCATCTTGAAGGGAGAAGAGCTTAGGAAGCTGATCAATGCACCTGCTTATATTGAATGCAGTTCTAAATCACAGCAGGTATATGATTGAATCTATTTTTCTCTTCTTTTTGTGCACAACGGTTTAGTCAATTAGCGGTTCTAAATTCATGTATGGTCTTTACTGCAGAATGTGAAAGCAGTCTTTGATGCAGCCATAAGAGTTGTCCTTCAACCACCAAAGCAAAAGAAAAAGAAGAGTAAAGCACAAAAGGCCTGTTCGATATTGTGATTTGCTAGGTCGGTCTAAAAATTTGACAACCATTTCTCCAATCTGTAATTCTCTCCTCTTCTTCGTTTTCTTCATTCCTACGCCGTTGAAGAAGTTGAAGTCTATGTGGGTGTTCGTTCGTCTAACATACTCTAGATCTCCTTGAAGCATTAAGGTGGTTGATGCTTTGTTTTTCTTGGAATTATTGTGAATTCTAATTGTCAAATTTGCATTTCATGGTTCCCACCTTTTTCTTAACTTAAGTTTTATGTATTAATAGACTGGAATTATCCCAGTTAGGATGATGACTACCTTGTTTGCTTGAAGATATATATAATATCTAAATTACATATATATAATATCTAAAGGTGTGATTTTAGTTGGGAAGAAATCTTGAAATGACCATGAATCTCAGATGATTCTGCACTTTTCTATGCGAAGAGATGAGCAATCCAACAGTAACTTCTTACTTTAACTTCTTACCATAATCAGTTTTGATGAAGTATGCGTGATGTTGATTATCGTTGTTGAGAAGCCGATTCGGACTTGTTGATGAAAATGATTTTGTGTAGAGAAGCAGTTAGAGAGTGAGTTTTGGAGAGATGAAGTTCTGAGAAGAGTTTCGGATGTGTGCAGAACGAATTGTTGAAGTTTTAGAAGTGAAATCGTTGAAGACTCATAGAAGATTTTTTGTAATTCTCTCAAGTTGTAGCAAACCAATGTAAATATTAAAATGAAATTTGGCCTTTGATGATATTTGAATTTTTCTTGTTTATTGGTAAAATTTGCACTTCTTTTTACCTTTGATCACATTTTTTTGATATTATTGATGATTATTTGATATTAAATGTTTTTATTGTAATTAACTTTATTATGTTGAAAAGTGATAGAAAATAAAATAAAAATACTATAAATAAAAAAATATTAAAGTAAATAATAATTTAAATATAATAGTAAAATATTATAGTAAAATAATATTATATTTAAAATTATTTTACTAAATAATAATTTAAATAAAAATATTATTTGAAATTTATAAATCAGATTACGACGGTTAAAACCGCCGCAATTTCTAACCTACGGCGGTAGAATAACCGTCGCAAACAACAACAAAAACAAAAAATAAAGTCAAATTCACGACGGTATATAACCGTCGCTATCTGTTGTGCGTGACAGTTTTTGCAACCGTCGCGAAATAGGCTGGGGACGCACGATTCTGCGACGGTACTTCTACCGTCGTAGATTGTAAATTGCGACGGTTTTAACCGTCGTAATCAGCCAAAATAACCGTCCCAATCTATCATTTTTCTTGTAGTGAAACATCTTCTTTTTGTTTAAAATCCCAGGTCATTAATCTAGACTTGCAGGTGTTTACATTACTATGATACTTCATTCTAAACACCCACTTGCATCTAATGATTTTTGATCCTTTAGTTAGATCGACATGTTCTCAAGTATAGTTTGACATTATTGAATCAATTTCATCTTCAATAAATTAGATTTTTGTTATTAATTTCTTTATTTTTTAGTTATTTTTTTAATCAATTGTTAATGTCATTTTTCATGTTTTTTGTATGCAAATTCTTGTGGTATTGAAGAATTGTTGGGGTGATAATGTTGAGAATTGATACACGTGTCCCTAGGAATTCTTAGATTTAATATAATTAAATTGTTTAAATAAATTAAATTGGATTAAAGATAGCTTTTAGGATTAATCCTTACACGACAACTTTAGGTAAGAATTTTCCCATTAAAAACTCATTCTTAGTCCATCTACTATGTTAAGTTTGTTCTCTGGTAAACCTAACCTTATGGTCATTTTGTATCATAGAGCATTTGTTATTCAGTCCCCTAACAAACTTATTTTTTTAAATCTTTTAAAAAAGGGCATGTTATTTCCGTTCTATCACAAACAGATAACATATGGGTCTCCACACAACCAACAACAAACACTTAATTGCTAGAATGCAAATGTACAACGCTCCCAAAAAAACAACCAATACATAAGTCTTTTCTAGACGAACTACAAAACTCTGAATTCTCTATGGGACTATGGAGATACATAGGCATATGTTTCGGGAAATCTTGGCGAAGTCACTAATTTAAAACCTTTCTTTTTTCCCTTATTAAATCATTCATGCATTCATAGCAAATAAACTCTTAGATAACATACTCTTAAGAGCAAACAAACAAAGTGGATCATGTTGAATACATCGAATATGAGGGGTACTAATACCTTCCCCTTGCATAATCTACTACTGAATCCCTATCCGAGTCGCAAGACCATCTTATCCGTGATTAATTTTTTGTTTGTTTAATTCTTTTCTAAATTCATTTTATTCATTCATGATAAACCAATTATAAATTTAACTTCTTTTATTGTGTTATTTATTTATGTTTTATTGATTCATTTTTATATAAAATTCATAATTTAATTTAATTAGTTTATATGTTTAATAATCAAACTTAATTTTTTTCATACAAAGGTAATTACAAAAAATTAAAGTTAAAGATTATGGAAAAAAAATCAGATTTTAAGTTTTTGTATTAAAAACTTTTTTGTGTGTGTTTTGCAATAACTAATTAAGAATTATCAAAATCATCTTTAATGTGGTTTGAAGCTGACACAAATATAAAATAAAATCAATTTTTATAGGTTGCAAAGCTTGTTCATGATACATGTATGTATAATGGTTGATAAACCGTCTTATTGTTAAGTTTTTGACAAACCTTTCAAAAAAATGTTAAAAAACATATTTATGTTGTTATAGTGAATAACATTTAACCAATTCATTAGTATATAACACGCGGTAGATAAGATAACTAAAAATGGATAGACTAACCTATAAAATTGGATGTTTTTTTGATAAAATAAGTGTTAAAATATTTCTGAGTATAAAATAATTTATAAATATTTTTTATTAAATTATTATATAAAAAAATTATGTTACAAAATCATCTTTTTAGATATGTATATCAAAAAAGAAGCTATAAATTATAATAAAAAAAACTTTAAACTCTTGAATGAATATTGCTTACTAAAAAAATCTACCTTAATCGCACGAAAACATATGCTATAAAAACTATGTAATATAAGATAGAGATTTTCTTAGTAAAATGCCATTAGATACCTTCAAATAGAGCCTTTGAGACACGAGGTTTTGAGAAATTAGATATCAATTAAGAAATAATATAGTAATATGATACATTTTTTCTATGGTATACATAAAAAAAAATTCATTTATTCTTGAGATAACATCATTGTAAGAATGTTATATAAAGCTCATACTTAAAAAATTAATGTAACTGATATCATAAAATCCATTCATTAAGAAATTTATAATAGTATTGTAGAGTGTGAGATCTATATCATTAAATTTATATATTTAATTATATGGTTATGTCATTAAACTATTAGGTGACCATTAAATGTGTGTGTAGCATCAAATTTACATCGGTTCATTGAATTAGAATTGCATGATTTGAAATGTAAATTCTCGTATGAATTCTAAAATGAAAATTAGGAATGTCATCCAACTGATTTGGAGACATTTCATATACTTTTATTAAAGAAGGACAAACTCTTTGAAATAAGCACTTTAGTTAGTTTTATTTGTTTCAAATTTTCACTTGAATTTTTTTGTTAAATTTTTTTTACCGACTTCATCGTCGATGTGCATGAAATTTTTAATCATTTTATACTTTGGTAGTCTCTGTCTTTATCAAAATTGGACTAGATATACGATGTATTTTTCATAATCTTCTCCTTTTGATGATGAAAAAATCTTTGAATTTGTTTTTTATAATGATTGAAAAGTCTGCCCCTAAGTTTCGAGTCTCCCCTTAGTTTGTAAATTTTACCATTACACAATCAAAATTCGGGATATCGTTGTTTCGATATTTGTTTTAATTCATACAAGGATTTGACAAACTAACACACCATTTGTTCATTACCAGAAATCATATATTTTTTTGGTTTCTTCATGTAAATCTCTATTAAGAATATTGTTTTGACATCCATTTGATGTACTATAAGATCATACAACTAAGTTAGTGCAAACGATACTATAATTTTCATTATGCTTTTTACTATTGCATATGTGTCAAAGTAATAAACATCTTATTTTTGTTTAAAATCCCTGGTCATCAATCTAGACTTCTAGGTGTTTACATTACTATGATACTTCATTCTAAACACTCACTTTCATCTAATGATTTTTGATCCTTTAGTTAGATCGACATGTTCTCAAGTATAGTTTGACATTATTGAATCAATTTAATCTTCAATAAATTAGATTTTTGTTATTAATTTCTTTATTTTTTAGTTATTTTTTTAATCAATTGTTAATGTCATTTTTCACGTTTTTTGTATACAAATTCTCGTGGTATTGATGATATGTTGGGGTGATAATGTTGAGAATTGATACACGTGCCCCTTGGAATTCTTAGATTCAATATAATTAAAAAATTTTAATCAATTAAATTCGATTAAAGATAGATTTTAGGATTAATCCTTACATGACAAGTTTAGCTAAGAATTTTCTCATTAAAAACTCATTCTTAATCCATCTAGTATGTTAAGTTTGTTCTCTTGTAAACCTAACCTTCGGGTCATTTTGTATCATAGAGCATTTATTATTCAGTCCCCTAGCAAACTTATTTTTGTAAATCTTTTAAAAAAGGGCATGTAATTTCTGTTCTATGACAAACAGATAACGTATGAGTCTCCACACAACCAACATCAAACACCTAACTACTAGAATACAAATGTACATCGTCCTCTAAAAAACAACCAATACATAAGTCTTTTCTAGACGAACTACAAAACTCCGAATTCTCTATGGGACTATGGAGATACATAGGCATGAGTTTCAGGAAATCTTGGCGAAGTCACTAATTTAAAACCTTTCTTTTTTTCCTTATTAAATCATTCATGCATTCGTAGAAAATAAACTCTTAGATAACACACTCTTAAAAGCAAACACACAAAGTAGATCCCGTTAAACACATCGGATGTGAGG